GCTTGAAACACACACCACACACATACACAGAAACACACACATGCACAACACACAAACACACACAAACATGTACAGACAGGCTGACAGGCAGCAAGACAGACAGACAGACAGACACACACACAAACACCAATCTTTTAGTTCTAGTAAGGGTTTTCTTAAGTGCTGAAGATTAGAGGGGTTACAAGAGAGTAACAAACACAAAAGGAGGGGAGAAAAAGGCGACAGATGTTTGATAGGAAAGAAGGAGCAAACCACACCAGTTTACCCGCCAACCACCCACACACCCATCTTTAAAGTGATGGAGGTCACATAGAAACCTTTCGGCACATCCGGCAGAAATTAAATGAGTACACAACTGTTTTTAATTGGGGATCTGAGTCTTTCTAGAGGAAAGTTGTATCCCTCTGAGCCAGGTCCTGACTTACAGGCAGAGTAAGAGACCTGCCTTCTTCATAACCTAAATTGTTTTGAAGGGGCGTAAAAAATAAAACACCTCAATTAAAAAAACAAAAAACGCATCCAGCGTATATCTCTATATAAATTCCCGCCTCTGTCCATTGTGTAAACAGTTTCCTTTCTTTCATAAAAATAATATTTTTATCTGAGCCAGCCAGAATACGAGTCAACCGGACAAGGACTGGGGTCTAACAGACAGTTCATTCTCAACACTCAGGTCTGGGCCGGATGAGAGAACAGTTACTTGCTTAAGTCAAGTGGACGATACAACACAGGAAGGGAAAACTCTTGAGTGGAGTAAAAACAGCCCGGACTGCCTAAATAGGATCTGAACCCAGGCCAGTTCAGGCAAAGTGAAACTGCCATGACACAAGCATGGGCCATTCCATGAAAAATGAAACTGAAATGAGGGCCGGCTTGTTGGCAGGTACTCTGGTGTGGTTGGCTCCTTCTTTCCAATCAACCATTTAACATCCCCATTTCTCCTCCTTTTGATGTGTCTCTCTGTGTATGAGTGCATGTGCGTGTGTGGGTATGTGTGTTTTACTCTCTACTGACCTGGTCAAGAGCGGCCAGCATGACGTGAGATGAGCGGGTAGACAGAGACTTCTCAGGGTGACAGCTGACCGAGTACTCGGACTCATCGGACGACTCGTCACCTCCACTGGGCTGGCTCAGGAGGCTCTGGGCATCAGACGCTGGAGGAGGGGTGGGGGG